TGTTTGTGTGTGTTTGTGTGCTTGTTTCATATGCGTATGCGTGTTAATTGTGTGTATCTGTGTGTATTTGTGTGTATTTGTGTGTATTTGTGAGTGTTTGTGTGAGCGTGTTTGTCTGTATTTATGTGTGTGAGTAAAAGGGGTTGGCATGACTCGTGACATTTAATAAGATATACGGATGGCAAGAGGGACAGACAGACAGACACACAAACAGACAGACAGAAAGACAGACATATAGACAGACACCCAGACACACAGACGCACAAACAGACACGGAGACAGACAGTTACACAAATACGGAGACAGTAAGCAAAAATGGAAAGAAGAAAAACACGAAGAATAAAGGGGAAATGGGAATATGGAAATGAAGGAAATGAGAGATATGTGACGGAATGCAAATACCGAAATGTAGAGGTGCAATCTGGTGCGGTGAAATTACTGCACGTGTTCAATATATCGCCGCATGTTCACTGGATATCGATCAAATAATGTATGACAAACAAGATTCCAGTTCTCCGCTTGTTTGATGTTTGGTTCAGCGTTTTGGTTTTTCCGCACAAATGTCGGATCCCTGGAGAATTTTTTTGTAACATCCCGTTGTTGTGAAGCTCTATGCTGTTTTTTTTCCTTATTCCTTTCTTGCTGCTGCTGCTGCTGCTGCTGCTGCTGCTTCTGCTGCTGCTGCTGCTGCTGCTGCTGTTGATTCTGCTGCTGCTGCTGCTGCTGCTGCTGCTGCTGCTGCTGATGATGATGATGATGATGATGATGATGATGATGATGATGATGATGATGATGATGATGATGATGATGATGATTCTACTGCTGCTGCTACTGCTGCTCCTGCTACTGATGATGACATCAACGGCAATAGCTTCTTCACATATAAAACAATTTGACTTAACGGCACCCATGAAGCCCATCGACTGTAACACCGAGATAAACATCAGCCATAGAGGTGTAGTGTTAGTCTTACGTGGCTGAGAAATTCTACAGCTTTGTCCAAGTCATCTCCGACGTCAGAACTTCCGTCTGTGTTCTGGTCCACGAAAATCACCGGCTTTTCCTCATCTTGGGAAGAATCAGAGAGCTGGGCCGCCGACACGAGGGCAAAGGTCAAGAACAGACACAGGAACATACACAGGGGAACTTTTCTCAGGGCCATGTCCTTATGGTATCTGGAAAAATGCAAACATGTTTGTTTCTTTTTATACATTTAGACGGTTATTACGTGACTGAAGGGACATGGAGAACGGGGGATGTAGAAGAAATGACTACATAAGTATATGATAAAGTGGGAAAGGTACGGAGAAAGAACAAAGAATTTCTCTCAAGGCCATGTCCTATTATGGTACCTGGAAAAATATAAGTACAGTCAGGCCTGCTTTAACAGTTACAGCCACCTGTCAAAGACAGTCGCATATGCAAATTATTTTGACCACTTCCCACTCCTCTCCTAGCGTTATAATGACAATTATGTCCAAGACATCCACCTGTCTAAGACAACCACTTAACTCCCCAAACACGAGTGTCTGTTTTGGAATATGTAGACTGTATACAAACATGGCTGTCTCTGTTCATGGTTAG